ATAAAGGATTGGCTCATGAAATTGCGAGACGCGCCGCTATCCAGCAAAGCGTTACACCCGCTTGCCCAACTTGAATGCGGGCATACATGAGCGGTGTGTTGTTGTCATCGTACCGCTGCGTGCAAAACTCGTCGGCCACCTTGGTGTATGCAAGGATGTCCCCCACCGCGACTTCGTCATCCATCGACGAAGTTGGTGGTGCATAAAAGGATAAGTGTGGAGATAAAATACTGCTGCGCATTGCGGTCCCGGCAAGCGGCCTGTGGTCAGGAGAGGAAGCCATGCAAAGTCCTCGGACGTGAGCAGGTCCAATACCTTTATGTTGAACTCGCGCGCCGAATCCTGTGAAGAATCACTTGAAATCGATAAGTCGCTGTTGCCGAACGGAGAAGAAACCGCACACACTTCTTGTCCTTCAGCTTGAGTACCCAGCGTAGGAACGAGCCGGGCAGCATAATCCTCAAAAGAAAGTAGAAGAGGAGGACTATCGACTTTCGCATGCGCCTCGGAATGAAGGTCGGTTACTCGCGAAGAAACCAGTTCCAGAGGCGTCGAGAGTGTTGTCGAGTCACTCTCGGCGGTGCTCAGTTTCCCTGTTTGCCCTTGCCTTTCAATGGGCAGACCAGTGTTTAATGAAGATCACTGTTGCACCATAGGCAATAGTGGAATCTCGTGCGTGCCTTGAATGCTTGCTCGGAGATGCCGTATTGGGACCAAGGGGCTGGAGCTGCTGCGTCGGGCCCGGGGCTAGATGCGGTGTGTGTCTTCGTCTTGCCATGTCCTCGGCCTCTGCCGGGGCGGCCACCTTCCCGAGCGGCTGTGAGTCTGTCCCCTTCACTGGCAGACACAGCCTCGCTGGTTTGGTCCAACAGCGTTGCCGCTGCGACCACGGCCACTCTCGGTGTAGCGGACCCACCCGGTGTGGTGCTCCGCTAGGGATGATGACGGAGATGGAGGATGAGGGAGGAGCGAGACAGCACAGCGCAGCTCCCACGCAAGACTCCAGCGCACGTACTCCAAAACTATACGAGTGTAGAATGATGGAGAAAACAGACAACTGTTGGGGTATACCTCAGCGGACTGACGGGACTGGATTGGACTGGCTGGTACCGATAGAGGTACCAGCCTGGATTGGACTGCCCCGAATACAACACAGGTCTGTGAGGACAGGCCAAGGGGCTGGTCTCACAGGCCAACCAGAGGTCCGCTACACGAGCCTCGGCCTGTGATGGATCGCCTAGATACAAACACGCTTCCGCCAAGAAGCGGAACTCTACCAAAGAAAAGAAAACCCGAGTAGTCTAGGATGTGGAGCAAGCTCCATGCTGAGTCCATGCGATGCAACCTAGGATAGAAAATGCCACAAAACAGCAATGTCACAGCTAACAGCCTACGTGAAAGCAGAAGCAACTAACTAGCATACATATCCTAGGAAAGTAGAAGCAACTAACTAGCATACAAAACCTAGGAAAGCAGAAAGTAGTGACAACTAGATCCTAGAATGTTGGAGGCAGTAGCCTTAGTCTGGGAACGACTGACTAGTGTACAAGTCCTAAGAACAGCAAAAGCAAAACAGCTAAATCCTAGAAATGTCAGAGGCAGTAGCCTCAGTCTGAGAGCAACAAAGCAACAACAAGTCAACCATATGTCACAGGAGGAGTGTGTCACAAACCAAAGGGTGGGATGGTTTCTGCGGGTGGCGAATGCAGCCTAGGGGTCAACAACTCCTAAGGGCATCCACACATAGTGACAGGGGGAACACATGTCATCAGGCTCAATGAGGGTAGGGAACAGGGAGCGAACAGAACCAATGACCCTAACAGATAGACCATCAGGGCGGGCAATGCTCGACTAAGGGGTGACCGCTATGGAGGATCGACCATGCAAGGGCGCACCTAGATGAAGCATGTGGGGCTGCCTAACTAGGGCATGAGGGCCGGCAGAGGGTAGAAAGGTGATGGGTAAGGGAATCATGCAAATGACTCCTAAAGTGAGGGAAGTCGGAGCTAGATCCGTAAGCTGGGAAGCCAGGGCAACGCTACGGTCCCGATGCCTATGCGTATACCAAGGGAGAGCCCAACTCAGAGGAACCCGGCTAAAGGGAGACCATCATGCGACACAACCGGGGTACTGTATAGGGTAAAGTGGTAAGAGAGTGATGACGTCTGAAGTAGGCAGAGCTGATCGTGACGAAGTCCGTGAAGCTGCCGATGACGTCCACGATAAGAAGTCCGGAATGTCGTCGAGGAAGAGCCACAACGTCGACGAGCTGAAGTAGCAAAACTGATGTGGATGGAGTACTGAGAAGTCAAGGACGTGGGAAGGTAAGTCGGAGTCAATCGTCGTATCGAGCAGGACGACGACGAGTGCACTGTGGACGCTCAGAAGCATCCGGATGCTGCTGAAGGTCTGCCTCAGATGGAGCAGGCTCGACTTCAACGGTCTCCTCAATCGGGGGAGAAGTAGGAGTGTCAATGTGATGAGGCGGAGCAATCGACCCAGCACGACGAGCACGGTCATAGGCACGCACCAACATGCGAGCGTGCTGCAAGTGCTCGAGGGGCTCCCAGGTAGCCTCCTCATCAGGGTAACCCTTCCAACGTACGACATGGGGAGGGTTGTCGTTGGTGACTCGACGACCAATGATGTCTAAATCGAGGAACTCCTCGTGGCCGTCCACCATGATGGGTGGAGGGCGCTCGTATGGTCATCTAGCGAAACGCTCAGACGGTCAGGACGCAGTAACGAGACGTGATAAACATCGTGCACACGAGCCTAGCGTAGGTAGTCGGTCAGCTTCACGCGGAAGCTGACCGGGTTAGATGCCGTATCAAAACCGACGGCCTGGAGGATGCGGCATGGGCCAAAGAAGCGACGCCGAAACTTGCGAAGCGTGTCCACTTCGAGCTGTAAGTGGCGGGCATCGATAAGCACATCATCACCAACTTTGAATGGATGATTCATCCTCGATCGATTCGCACTTGCTGCCATGCGAGTCTGGGAAGCGGCTATGTGCTCATGTGCGGTCTTCATGATCAACGTCATGTGTGCAACCCAATCAATCCAGTGCGGGACAACTCGTGTCGGGGTGCATCTGTGACGATCGAAGGAAGTCCGCGGGAACACGAGGGTGATTGTCGAGGTCGCAATAGTAAGGCGACATCCCCGTGGCTGGCGAGACGGCGTGGTTGTAGGCTATCTCCGCGTGGGCAAGATGGAGATCCCACTGCTGGTCGTCACGAACAATCTTTCGGAGAATATCTTCGAAAGTCCTGTTCGTGATCTCGGTCTGGCCATCAGTCTAAGGATGGTAAGACAAGGAAAAGCGGAGCTGGGTGCCGTAAACCTCGTGGAGCCGTCGCCAGATTCGGCTGGTAAAGCGCGGGTCACGGTCAGGTATGATGCTCAGAGGTAAGTCAAGGTCATGCACGACTCGGTCAAACACGATGTCGGCGACCTCACGTGCACTGATGGCATAGCGACACGAAACAAAGCGTGCGCGCTTCGTGAAGCGGTCGACGACGACCAAGATAGCATCATGACCGTGGGGGGTCGAAAAACGAAGAGGACCGATAAAGTCCATCAAGATGGACTGCCAACGACCATCAGGGATAGGAAGAGGCTGGAGCAAACCATAGGGAAGGTGGTTCGCATTGTTCACCTCCTGACAGGTAGGACACTCTGCGACGTAGTCCTTCACAAAGTCCTTGCGCTTCGGCCAAACTTACAGGCGGCTCACACGAGCCACCGTCTTGTGGAAGCCCATACGAGCGACGGCTGCATGGTCATGGAACTCTGCTACTGCTCGGACACGTAGCTGTCCAGTGGAGGGAACGCAAATACGGGGCTCTCTGGTGCCCTGTGAACCATGCCAGTACACAAGACCGTTGTCCCCGAGAGAGTAGTTTGGGGCGGTCTTGCCACTCCGAAGGGTCGCGTGGATGTCGCGATAGTCGGGGCAGTGGCGGTACTGAGTGCGAAACTTGTCGATCACCGAGTGGTGGACAGTGGTGACTGAGATGGAAGAGCTGGATCTGCTCCTGGTCGTGGTCAGGGCGCCGGGATAAGGCATCTGCAACGCGATTAGTCTCTGTCTCACCCTTGATGTGCTCAGTGGTGAAACTAAACTCGGATAGGTCGCGCCACCAGCGAGCCTGTCGAGGGGTGAGTTTCGGCTTTGTCAGAAAAGCCTGGACAACAGAGTTGTCCGTACGCACCGTGAACGGTGCCCCGTGCTGGTAGTGACGTCAGTGCCGAGCGGCATAAACTACTGCGAGAACCTCACGTTCATCAACGGTGTAGTTTATCTCGGCGGGCAGGAGCTGACTGGAGTAGAAGGCTATTGGACAATCACCTCAGCGGCGATGGTAGGAGAATAGTCAATAGGAGGCTTGCCAGTAGCTGGACAAGAAGGCGTCAGTTGGGAACCAGTGATATGGGTAGGTGGTGGGAAGCGAGGGCTACGAGGATGACAGGAATCAGGAGAGGAGGGGAAGATCTGATAAAGCACTGCTCCTATAGCAAAGTCTGACGCATCGGTGGTAAGGACAAAAGGGCGATCAAAACCAGGTAGGTGAAGAACCGGTGCGCATGTCACCGCCTTCTTGAGGGCGCGGCAGGCGTCCTCGTGGAGGGGTGTCCAAGCCCAGGGTGGGTTCTTTCGGAGGAGGGTGGAGGTAAGGACGTAGGAATACCTAGTGTATCCCTGGATGAAATTACTATAGTAGCTGGTAAGGCCTAGGAAGTTGCGAAGTTACTTGGCGGATGTGGGGGCGAGCCACTCCGCAATAACAGTGATCTTCGCGTCGTCCATGTGCAGACCCTGGTTAGACATGCAGTATCCTAAGATATCCACTTTGTGTTGGGCAAAGCGGCACTTGCTCAGCTTGGCGTAGAAGCCATGTCTGCGCAAACGGTCAAGAACGCCGCGGAGGTGTCTGAGGTGCTCCTCAAGGGTACGACTGTAGACCAGGATATCGTCGAGGTAGACGAGAACGTACTACTTTAGGATGTTCCTGAAGATGTCGTTCATCGCCCTCTGCAAGGTAGCGGGTGCATTGGTAAGGCTGAATGGCATCACCGTAAACTCGTAGTGGCCGAAGCACGATCCGAACGCTGTCTTCGGCTGGTCCGCAGCAGCGACGCGGATCTTATAGTAACCGCTACGAAGATCAATCTTCGTAAAGAAGCGGTTGCCTGCTAGGCGGTCGAACAGCTCATCGGAACGAGGCATGGGGTAGCTGTTCTTAACCGTGTAGCGGTTGAGACCGCGATAGTCGATGCAGAGACTGAGAGTTCCATCCGCTTTGCGAGCAAAGAGGACGGGTGCACCCCACGGGGAGTTACTGGGTTTAATGAAACCCAGTCTCAGGAGCTCCTCAAGCTGATGCTCGAGTTCGGTGGCCTCGGGGATCGAGAGTCTGTAGAGTGCCTGGTGGTGACCACGATAGCCAGGCACAAGTTGGATGGAGTGCTCGGCGTCACGCATCGATGGGATGCCGGTGTACGAGAACGACGATGGGAAAACATCGTGGTACTCTCGAACGAGGTCACGAACTGCGGGCTCCAGGTTGGCCGTATATCGTGCGAGTTCCTCAGCGTCAGCGTCAGCGCGCGACGGCGGGGTGGACTCGACGGACGGCGGAGGGACGGAAGTAGAGATGGGAGCCATGGAGATAGAAACAGGATCTGGCTCCAGAGGGATGAGCTCGGCGTCGAGACAGGGTGGATCATAGTGTAAAATATCCGTCACGTTCACCATAAAGAGGGTGCCGTCGTCCTGTTGGATGAAGTGGGCGAACTGCCGAGGCGAGGTAACAGTGATAGAAGGAGATGGTGTGGGGACGGAAGGCTCCGGGGCAGGAGGATCGGGGCGTGGTGTAGCAATGGTACTTATGAAGGGTACGCGATACGTCTGTCCACACTTCGTTTTGAGAACAAGAGTGTTGGTCGCCTAATCGGCCTCGGTGCCGCGAAACTGACGAGACCACAGAGTGCCGAGAATGAAGTCATACCCCGTCTCCATCACATCGAAATGTGCAGAGCAGCAGTGGCGACAAGGCGCCGGGGGACGATCAGTCGGCTCGAGAGTGAGAAAGAAGGGGAGGTCGGAGACCGTCTGATCGAAGAAGCGCTGGGTCTTGTCATCCCCTAGGGTGACAGAGATGGGAGTTGGAAACCCTGTCGTGGGTAAGCGGGCTTCTTTCACCACACGTGGGTGAATGAAGTCGCCCTAAGAACTGGAATCCCACAGCGCTGAGTACACCCTCGTGGAGGTCCCCAATCGAACTGGAATGATCGGGAGGGTGCGATCAGGGTCAGAGAGGATGGTGAGAAGGCTACGCAATGCAGCGACAGGGAGGGTGAGTCGCTCCTCACGAGCTTGGAGCATGCTCAAGTCCAGAAGAGAGGACACAACGTCCTCGCGAGTAGCGAACTGCTCGCTGCAACGAGCTGAGCGAATGGCTCGACGCGTCGGTAGTCGCGGCGAGGCAGGAGGGGAGACGGTGGTCTGCGGAGACGCAGACGGTACTGCGACAGAGGGCTGAGTACACTGTGTCGGGTCCTGCGAGACCTCGACTCCAATAGTGAGAGGGGCAAACCGCGACGGGGATGTCGGGAAGCCGACTACTGAGTAGGGCGCAGGTGTACACTGCACCGTGGCTAGGAGGCGGCGAGGCGGCGGGGGGGAACTGAGCACGACGTTGGCGGGAAAGGTCAGCGTAGTGGCGGTCGAGGGCGGTGGTATAAGGGCACCGCGAGGAGGTACGACTATCCAGGCGCCATCACAAACACCCACGCCGGCCCAAAATAGCCGCGCACTCCTCAGCGGAAAGGACACCACAAGGAGGGACAAAGCCCTGAGGGAGGTCCTGCTGAGGGACCTCGGGGGGCGACGTGCCAGCGTGACCCGGGCGGTTGCGTGCCCGGGAGAGGGTGGAGAGGATGAGCTGGAGGCGCTTGGCCATAGGCAGAGTAGAGTCCTCGAGATGGTGGTGGACGGCCTCGCCGAGGTCGAGGTCATCACTATGGTCACCCTCTGGCGACAGCGGGGCACCAGCGTCCTGCTCACCATACTCGAGCGAGCTGAAGCGACGCGAGAAGTGGCAGCCCTACTGCGCAGAATGGTGGGGGCGACCGTGAAAAGGGAAACGGCGCTGGGAAGTGTCGTGAGAGGAGGAGGCGGCGTAGGCCGTGCGCTGAGGCTGGCAGGAGGAGGCGGGGTGAATATGGGCCCGCATCCGCTGATGGTCCCTGGCGGCCTCGTAAGCCTGCGGGGCCGATGTGAACTCATACCGCCATAACTCGGAGTGGTCCTCGAGCGAAAGGCTGGCCAAGAATCGATCGATAAGGGAAGCCTCGGGGAGGAACGCCACGTCACAAATGAGGCGGGTGTCCTGAAAGACCTGGATGTGGCGATCCAGGCTGGCAGCGCCACCAGAGCCGGACCAACGTGTGGTGACGACACGCTCGAAGGTGTCAGTCACGTCGTGTCGAACTCCGAAACGATCCTCGAGGAACGCCTGGAAATCCATGAAGGTCGGGGTCCAACCCGCGCGGAAGTTCGCGTAGAAATCCTCCCAGGCCTCGAAAGGACCGCCACACAGGCGTGTGGAGAGGTTACCCACCCTCGTGTCGGGTGTGGCGCCCATGAGCTGGAGCGTGCGGGTGGCATACTGCAGCCACCGAGACACACGTATGCCTGTACCGTCATACAGGGCAATGTCCGACAAGCGAACGAGTGGTGCGCCACCGTTTTGGCGGCGAGGGGATCGAGGAGCAGAGGCCTGTGCCACGACTGAGTAAGTCGACGCAGGTCCTGGAGAAAGGGGCGCAGCTCACTGTGCGGCCGGGCCGCATGGGGGAGCAGCGGGGGCAACAGCGGCAGGCTGCGAGGGAGCTGCGATAGAAGAGGCCGCAACAACCGAGGGAACAGGAAGAAGGTAGGATGGGGCTGGATATGATGCTGGACGAGGGAAGCGAGCCTGCATGGAAGGAAGGGTAGAGGAAGGAGGAGGTGCGCCCGAAGGCGCAGCCACCTATGAGGGTGGGGGTGGTTGAAGGCGTAAGAGGGCGAGGTCGGCCCGGATCCGAGGACGTGGATCGAGCGAGGAGTTGCAGGAGGAAGAGTGGACGAAGTGGATGCACAAGCGGCACGGGGCATCCCAGAGGGGGGAGAGCCAAATGGCGCTACAGTCGTGAGAAGGGAAGGGAGGAGCGGGGCACCCGAAAAAGTTGAGACCATGGTAGCGAGTTGTGGTCCCGTGGCCGTAGTGGTCCGAATCTGGGTGGGTGCACCCGTAGAGTGAGGGAGGGCATGACTCGTGGCGGCCGTCGAGCTAGGGGCGTGGACGGTCACCAAGATGGCCGGGTCGGGGGTGGCAGAGGAAGAAGCTCCGCCGTGGCCACCTTGTCGGAGAACAGGGGACCCGGACTGGGAGCCAAGAGAAGAGAGAGGGTGAGGAGAGGAAGGACGACCAGCGTCCTGGAGTTGCCGCATGGCGCCGGCAAGGGTCGCCACCTGCGCCTGTAAGGGCGCGAGGGTCGCGAGTTGCACCTGGATGGGCGCGAGGACGGAGGTGAGGAGGGTGTGCAGGTCCCCCTGGGGCTGGTGGCCCTGGTCCGTCGCCACGTGTGTGGACCCCTGTGTCGTGGTCGTCGCCGCGTCGGCAGCGTGTGACACACTGTCGGCCATGGGGAGGTGACGGGCCGGGCTGGAGGGGGCCAGGAGAGGTCCGCGTGAGCGGAGGGCGTAGGGGGGGGTCCGCGGTAGAAAGCGGCGGACGGCGCTAGCAAGGCTAGCGCGGGCGCCGTCAAAGGGGAAGAGGTGGTTCGGGTCCAGGGTGCCCGAATAGGAAGGGGTAAGTAAGGTTGGGGGGGGGGGGTTGAAGAACCCTAAACCCTAGCAAAACCCTAAGAAAACCCTAACCGGAGCTTGAGTGGTTAGGGTAGGCTACCGGTGACCTAATCAAGAAAATAAAATAGCAAGCATAAGGGGGGAAAGGCGAGAGAAAACTAAATAAACAACAAGATTTCGAAAGAAAATATAAGTAAATAAGAAAGTATATAAATAATAAAAATAATTAAGGGAAGAAGTAAACAAAATGTGAAAGGAAAAATAATATTTATTTTTTTGAAATTTTCGGCAGCATTTCCCTACCCCCCATGGGGTCAAGAATGTGCCAAGGGAAAAGGAGAGACCGAGATAGGCACACTAGGGGTTTCAAACTGCCACAAATAAAATTTTTCAAAAAATAAATAAAAATAATAATAAATAAATAAATAAATAAGTAAATAAGTGCATAAGGAGGTGGAGAGAAACGGAGTATCTGATTATTTAAACATTTTGGCAGCATTTCGTTACCCCCATGGGGTCCAAGTGTGCCGAAAAAGACTAAGAAAAAATCAAAAAAATTCGGCACAACTCTGTTACCCCTACGGGGTCAAAACGTGTGCCGAAAGCAAGAAAGACTAACGCCTAATCAGATTTAGGGTTGCCGTAAAGAAAATCAAAATTTCAGAATAAATAGAAAAATAAAAGAAATAAATCAGAACATGAGAAAAGAAGGTGGGGAAGAACATAATTCAATTTTTTGGAAAAAAGAGAAAAGATAAATCAAAAGAGAGAGAGAAAGAAAAAAAATAGAAAAAAATTCGAGGAGGGGGGAAGGGGATGAAAAAGTGAAGGAGAAAAGAAAGAAATAGGAGGGGAAGAGAAAAAGATGGGAGGTAGGGGGATGATGGGGTGGTAGTTGGGGGAGAGGAGGGATGGGGAAAGGTGGAGAGGGATCAAGAAGCAGGGAGAAAAGAAGGGGGAAAGAAAAGAAATGAAGAAAAGAGAGTAAAAGAGTGGGTGGTGGGAGAAAGGTGGGGTGGGGAAGGTAAAAGGAGGAGAGAAAAGAGGCAGTAGAAGGTGGGGGAAAGAGGGGTGAGTAAGAGGAGAGAGGAGAGGTATGGAGGGTGAGTTAGTAGAGGGAGGGGAGAGAGATAAGTGATACCTGGCCCTTGGTGTCTCCAAGGGCACAAGGTATACCAAGACCAGGAAGGTCTTGGCCTTCGCTGCAGCAAGCCAGCTGGAGGAGAGAGGGGGCTGAGATCTTGATCAGCCCCTAGCAACAGTTCTGCAGATCTGCAGATCTAGGGTCTGCTGTGTGAGCAGACCCTCACCACTGTAGAGCAGCCCCTGAAACAGGGGGTCTTCAAGTCCACGGCAGGCTGCCACGTGGCACTGCAGGTGGCCACGAGCACAGGCAGCAGCAGCCACGGGGGGGGGGGAAGCAAATAGCAACCCGCCCGTTGCTGCTCTGCTCGTCGCCGGCCGGGGGGGAGGGGTAAATAGCCAGCACGGCACCTCTTCAACACGAGTGTGCCGTACTACAGGGCCATGTACACTCTGCGGCGAGTGTGTTATCAAGGTGCTTACGCACGCGCATGGCCCAGCAGGCGCATGGGTTCAAACCCCTGCAGCAGCAAAAATCCTGGATCTTAATAATGTAAATCCGGGAGCGGGGCGGGGCAGCATGGACGAGTGGCACGCGCGCGTGCGGTTGCCTTGGCCTTGGCGCTTGCGCTCGTAGTGGCACCTGCTTTTTTCGCCACATGTCACCTCCTGCAGGCGCCTGCTTTTTCCCTCGTTTTCGCTGGAAAACACCCGAAAAACAGCGAAAAAACCCGCTGTCGGGTTTGCTGTTTTCCCAGCTGTACGGGGTGGTGGGTGGGAGCGGGGAACGTTCCCGCTCCGATACCAATGCAGCGGACCCACCAGGTGTGGTGCTCCGCTAGGGATGATGACGGAGAAGGAGGATGAGGGAGGAGCGAGACAGCACAGCGCAGCTCCCACGCAAGACTCTGAAAAATTGTGCGAGTGTAGAATGATGGAGAAAACAAACAACTGCTAGGGTATACCCCAGCGGATTGACGGGACTGGACTGGACTGGCTGGTACCGACAG